GCCGATTAAAGATCTCAGTGAAAGGAAATAGGTCCTTCCAGGTAGCCTATAACACAAACACCATTCCTGCATTATCCATCACCCATAACATATGGCGGCACAAACCATCCCTGCTGCTCTTTAGTCTGGCGTCTCTCATTGGCTTTGACAGCTGGGCTGGATCAATTGGACAGGTCCTGACTGGAGCTGAATGACAGAGTGTTCCAGACAGCCCATTCTGACTGTCACTTCCCTGAGAGATCACCAGCCACTCCTGCCCACGAATACTAATACGCTCGACACGGTTGCAGCCCGGGACAGGTGGGATGTGCTTCCTATTGTGTGTGTGTTCTTGTGTGTATGTGTGGTGTTGTTGCAAAGGCACAAGGTGAGCCGCACTCACACCAGGAATTACAGCTTAAATAAATGAAAGGAAGCGCACACACAACTGCACTCTCCCCCTCCCCGCGTCCTCTGTTGGTGACTGCCCAGGTATTGCAGGGCATGCAGAAAACCCATTAATAAGCCCAAGGCAGTGGCAGCATGCCAGTGCCTGTGAACAGGGTCAAAGGTCAGGTGATGGCTAACTGCAAAAAGAGCCTCCCTGTATGTTGAATCTGTCCTTTAGCTAAATATATTAGTGGGAGTACTGAGCTCTGTGTGCTTGTGGTCATGTTTACATGATTTAAAAAGGGAACATTCTCTAGTTTTTGTATACTTACAGAATCTGAATTATTTATTCAGCAGTGAGTGAAACATTTAACTGAATTGAATTTCTTTTTCTTTTCTTTTTTTAATTTATTTATTTATGTTTTTTAACCGTGTCCTGTCTGGCTGCGAAGCAAACAGAATTGATGTCTGAATGCTGGTAACAAGCCTTACAAATTTACTCTCAGGTGGAGCATCAAAGCTTCTGCTTTTAATGTCACGCCTGATTCTTAAAACTTTATTGTTTTGTTTTTTGAATGCTTGTAATTCCGACCGGACACGGAGACAGAGGTGAAAGAGAAAGGAGAAGACAAAAGGAGGGCGGGGGGGGGGGGGGGGGGGTTGGGGGGGGGGGGGGGGGGGGCAAAAGCTAAACTTGGAATTTAAGATCCAAGGTCAGTGTTTGATTGTCCAACAGCCTCAGAAAGATCAAATCTGTAACTTAACTGTAGCTTAGATGCTAATAGTTGACGAAAAGCGTTTCCGGGTTAGTTTCCACATTTATACAATGTAAGTCCATGCTAGCATGTTATAGCTTGCCCAAGGCCAGTGCTGAAAACACACCTTATAGCCATGCTGACACATTTACAGAAATGTTGATTAATGTCCCTGTTCGGGTAAACAAAAACTAAAATAAAAAAGTCTAAGTTATAAAGCAAACACTGATCCATCGAGTCTTCTGCATCTGCTTGCTACGTAAGAGCTAATGCTTTGTTTGCCAACCAGTTTCTTGCTGTTGTCCTCAACAGTGTTGGGCAAGTTACTTCAAAACTGTAATGCATTATTTAATACTTGTTACCCTCATTTTAATGTAATTGATTACATTATAATATTACTGATTTTAAAATGTAAGGCATTACACTACTTTTGCATTACACTACTTTTGCATTACTTTAAGTTACTTTTACCAAAACAATTTCAATATGAATTAGGTCATGTGATGCTCAGTGAACTCATGACACATCCAGAGGAAGGTGTGGTGTCTGAGCATTGCTGTTAAAAACAGTCAGATATAATAATAGTTCTTTATTAAATAAAAGCAACAACAAACTGTACTCTCAGCACGCTGCCATCTTATATTAACTGAGCAGAGAGTGAGGTGATGGGGGCTCCAAGCCTATATTTGCCTTGGTCCCCAAATGCCTTGATACGGCCCTGGATGTGGGACTGACTTCTGGGGAGATCTGATTCTATCACATGTATAAATATTAAATGCTTATATATTATTGCTTTTCACTGGTAAAACTGTGTATTGGGGATAAATCTACCTACGTTTTTTCTCTTCAAGCACTTTGTTTTGTTTTCTTGATTTTATTTGAATAATTTCTGGCCCTTTCTCTCCCTAACCTTCCTGCATGCTGCCAATTTTCTCCGTCTTCCAGAAAAACAGTTTCCTAGATTCCCTACTTTCTAACTAATCAGCCAAAGGGATCTACCGAACGCAAAAAAAAAAAAAAAGCTTAATATGTGCTACGCTCCAGCAGCAAATGAGTTGAAATCACCGGGCGAGGGCACAGATTACGAACTCAGCGGAGGCAAAGCACGTCAGAAAAGTACAGCAAGTACAGAGAATATGGGCTGATATGAACGATCGCAAGTGAATTATTTTGTTTTGGTGGAGCGATTTTGTGAATATAACAGTGGCCGCGCGCAGGACGCAGCTGGAGTATTTGAGCCGTTACCGCTGCGTCCTGTCTGCTCATAGAATGCCTGCAAAGCGGAGTTCATAAATGACGTCATATATGTAGATACCAGATCTTTATTTTGAGCTTTCCGCAATTTTAATTTTTAAGAAACCCGCATCTTGATTCTGGGTTTAAAAATGCGTTGTAATTACCGCGTTACTGACAATTGTACCGAGTAAATATTACCATTTTCTTTCCCTGTAATGCCTTACATTACCACATTAAAGCTAAAAGCAATGCATTACAGTAATTAATTACTTTTGTACCGCGTTACTCCCAACACTGGTCCTCAATACTCAGTTTCACTTAAAGGTAGTCCATCAGTATTTCTCCTTATTGTATGAGTATGCACATCTAAACCAGGCATGTTTAAAATGCGGCCCTTGAAAGAATTTTGCGTGGCCCCCATTTTTATTTCTCGAATGAATAACTTTCTCTCTGAAGCAGACTGTTGATGAAGACACTTTCTAACATTTTCATGTTCAGATTTTTACTAAAAGACCTATTTTGACCAATTTTGAAGAGTACTAATTAAAAAAAGGTCATTACAATTTTTTTTTGCATAATAAAAATAATAATAAAAAATTTGTGGCTCGTGAGGACTTTTAATTTGACGACGATTTGGGCTCTCATCTTGAATAATTTGGACACACCTGTTTTAAATCGAGATGATTTTTGGGCCTAATGTGTTAAACTACCTTCGTTATTATCCAACATTTTCACCAAATTGAGACCGTTTTCCCTAAAACGCCTTCACAAGAAGACAGGCAGATAATTATTAGCTTGTTTAACTTAAAAATGTCCCATTTGAAGGTGATGGTAGAAGTATCTGATCTGATATCTGCGTGAAAAAAGACAAAATCCCAACAGACATGATGGTTTTCACCCTGCAGAATGTAACTGGCCTATTCTATGCTTGATCATTTTATTTACAGCAAGATTTTTCCTGTTCCTCTCATATTTAACGTGCCTTTCCTCAGCTGTCAGCACACCATTGAGGATCAGAAACACTAAAGTGCAAGTAGGCATGAAGAGATGCTTATGGACATGCAAGAGAGTCAGTGGTCTCCTCAAAGTCACGAGGTGGCTTTTGGCATGTGTCGGCGTGTGGCTTTTGTGTTACTGTAGTCGGTGACACACTGCTGCTGCAAATGTTTGTAACGCTCTGGACTGCACATGACAGAGGTCCTCAGGGTATTATATCTGAAACAGCTGAGTGCTGACCTCAATTAGGAGCGTGGCGCTGCTCATATGCTCTCCATACTGTATGTGAATCAAGCTTATCACGTATCTGTAATACATCAAGATTGTGTGTGTGTGTGTGTGTGTGTGTGTGTGTGTGTGTGTGTGTGTGTGTGTGTGTGTGTGTGTGTAGGAATCCAGGGGAGTTCAGATAAACATCTCAGTACGCTCAAAATGTTGAGTGTTGTTCTGCTTTCAAATACGGATTAGCAGCAGATGAAGTTCCTGTTAGTGACAGCCAGTCTCAGGAGAGTGGAGAACTGCTGTGTGTGTGTGTGTGTGTGTGTGTGTGTGTGTGTGTGTGTGTGTGTGCGTGTGTGTGTGTGTGTGTGTGTGTGTGTGTGTGTGTGTGCGTGTGTGTGCGTGTGTGTGTGTGTGTGTGTGTGTGTGTGTGTGCGTGTGTGTGTGCGTGTGTGTGTGTGCGTGTGTGTGTGTGTGTGTGTGTGTGTGTGTGTGTGTGCGCGTGTGTGTGCGTGTGTGTGTGCGTGTGTACAGTATATGCATATGCCCTCTAACACCCTTAAGTGCAGCGGAGTGAATAAACAAAGATGTAATGAGCACAGATGCATTGTTATGCACATGTAGGTCAACATGGATACTGTAAGAGAGTGAAGTTACAAGAAACAAGAACAAAGAATAGAGATGATGTCGAGTTTATATACTTTACTAAGGGTTGTAGTACAGTCTCAGAAAAAAACACCCAATGGAGCGTTTAGATGTACACTGTCGTGTCACATAACAACAATAATAATATGTCATGACTCCCAGGCTGCCTCCCTCCTCTGCCTCAGCCGCCTCCTCAATCAACCCCTCAGCCGCTTAATGATCCTCACCTGTGCCCTGTCATCAGCTTATGCCACACACCTGCCTCCTCTGCTATTTAACACCCAGCCTGCTCTCCAACCAGTGCCAGATTATTGAACGCCACAGCTGGTAAATTCTCCAGCCTTCCATCCATCGTCTGTCTCACGTGTCTCAACTTGGTTCTGTCTCCTGGATTCTCGCCTTGCTGCTGCATTGGACCCCTGCCTCGTTCCCTACCACGCTTTTGGATTTCCCGGATTATCGACATTGGATCTGTCCCCTGACTTCGAGCTCTCGCCTGGTTCTGACCCACGCTTCCACCTGACCCCGTCTCAGCCTTCTTCCTGGTTCTGACCACACTTCTGCCTAACTACAACCCAACCATCTCTCTCTCTGCAGTGTTGGTGACAAACTCCTGAATTGTTTTAATAAACATTTTAAACCTCTTACTGTGTTCAGTGTCCTCATGGGTCCTACATCCAAGCGCAGGTCATTAAAGAATATTAATAAAATCAGATTTTTCATTCTAAACTACTTATTGTGAAATGTCAAACTCTGTAATTATCAGTCATTCACCTTAAAGGAGACATAACATGAAAAACCCACTTTTTTATCCATTAACACGGTGTGTTTCACATTTTAAGTGTCTAAGTGAGCAAAAAGGCTTATATTATTCACTGGAGTTGCTATTTAGATATTTAATAATTAAGTTTTGGGCATATTTGTCCACCCGTTCAGTTTTTACATTATCTATTACATCAGTAATTAATTTAGTGAGGATAACTACCAAATATGGTAATGGCCCTCGGCTAAACACAGAGCCAATCCGCCATTTTTTCTTCTCGCTAAGATTTTTTGTAGTCCTATTGGAAAAATGCAGAATGTCTGGTTATTTTAGCCACACACAGCTCAAAACTGTTCCTCGTTTTAAGGAAGGGTGGTGTGGCAGTATTTAAACCCAGGAGCTGATGACACTACTGCTAAAAAAACACAGAAGAAAAAGTAGTGTGTTTGCGTTTGTTTGTGTGTGTGTGTGTGTGTGTGTGTGTGTGCGTGCGCGCGCGCGCGCGTGGTTCGTTCGTTCTGTCTCCAGGCTAGTGGCTAAGTACTGAGGGCTTCATCTATCTAAAAGGAGTTATTTCCATCTGAATTTGGCAGCACCGGGACACAGCAGCAGAGCGGTAAGCTTCATATCACTCTAAAATGTCGACAAACTTTACTTTAGATTTACGGGCATTAGCAGCACTAAAGCGTTAGCATCCGGCTTGCTATCGCTAGCACAGTATGCTAGTAAAGTTAGCACCCAGATTAATGTGGATTTGGCAGATATTCGTGGAATAAAACGTGATTTCTGATCAACGCCTTCTTTTACACCAGATGATAACCTCCCACTGATTGTAACAGCAGAGAGCCTGTGTGTTATTCTACATGAGTGTGATGTAATCTTAGCATCCAGTAAATAAAGTCCCATATCAGCTAAAATGCAGCGTGACAAAGTCATTAAAGTGCGTCAACACAGTGGATTTAATAGAGTTTTAAAGAACGATCTCTGAGTGAAGTGAGGTTAGTTTTTTGTCTCACTGCAGATATAAAAACTAACTCTGCATCAGTCAGACGCAGCAAAGCTCACCGTCTGTATGAGCGTGAGCGTCGGAAAGCTGATAAAATTGGCTGTAAAATAATTAAAACAAAGTAAAAATGTTCCTTTGCTTTTTAGAGTCCACATCCAGAAGACTGGAGCCGTGTTTCACTGACAGGCTGTCAGACTAACGCCCTGATGAGCTCAGCTGGGACAAACTGGTCTGATGTTTAGGTAAGTGAAGATCTGCTTCTCCAAGTCCTTGAGATGCTAGTAAAAAATAATTTAGCCAGCTTGCTAATGTTACTTTTCTTCTCCTCTAAGGAACACAGAACGTTCAGATGTTGGAGCTCACGTCACCTACTGAGGAAGGAGACCCACCAGTAAAGAGATGGTAGCTGGACCAGACCAAAGTGAGTGATGACACACCTCAGCCACCCTCATCATTAAGAACACCTCACCCCCTGAATCACTCCGTCTGATGACAGCAGAGTGATTTATTTGATGTTTTACTTGTTTAGTCTGTTTAGAAATTATTGAATTACATTATTTTCTGTAATCGACCATCTGATCTGGATGTGTGCAGAATAACTTTCCCCAAATTCAGCAGCAGCTGGCCTACAAAAACAGCTGCAGCATGTAGTAAGTCTGTCTGCACTGCTCTCTAATGAGCTTCCTTTCATAAGGAATCATTTGTATAATTTTAGTGTCACTATTTTATTACATTTGTAGGAAAATATGAAGTCACTGCAGCAAAGTGAACTTGTGAACAAACACAAACGTGACTATAAACATGAAAGCTAAAGAAACAACTTTCCTAAAGCTGCTTGTAAACAAAATATGTCATTAAAGTTATTGTCTATCATTGCAGAATATGGCGATGACATCATGGAACTGGTCTTTGGAAAAGTTTTCCCTGAACCAACTCCGTTTCTAGATGAGGTAGAGAAGATCTGCATCTCACCAACTCTCTGGTCTCAGTATTCAGACAACGGAGGTCTCCCACTGTTGTCCAGGACCAGTTTGAAGCCCACATACTGCCCCTCCCTCATCATCAGGAAACATCAATCCGTATCCTGAGGACAACAGAAGACGGCAGGAGGACAGGAACTCTGAGACCTAGACACCACCAGCACCGAGACACAAAGCACCTGTGTGCACAACGCCTGTTTTAACTACTAAAGCCTGTTTATTATATTGTTCTACTTATTTGCTGTGAGGTTAATACTTAGAAAATTTGTATATTAATGTAAACAATAAAAAAAAATCACTGATTGTATGCTTTCTTTTAGATGTAATGGTCCAAACTCAGCCTTGTAGACATTTATTGCATCCTGTAGGTAAATACACAGAACAGGCTCAGGTCCAGGATGACCCAGCATGCTCTTCTTCCATTCTGGCTGTTAGGGATTGTATCAATAACTCAATGCCTACTGATGTTTTCACCTAACGGTATTTATTTAGAATGCAGGTAAGATTTAACTATATTTGTTAGCAAAGCAGACTGATCTTGGGAATTCCACTGCAGCACTGATGTCCACCTCTGTACACATTAGAGAGAATTACTACTTTACAGCTAAACACATTTAATAAAGATATAGGCTACGCATTGCAGACAATAAAAACAAAGTTGTAAGCATTAGAATTATAATGATGACATTAAAGAACACTTGGAGGAATGTTCTTTATTTTTGACTAGAATCTCAAATCTTTAAATTAAAATGTAACTGCTTTTTATCCATTTTCAGCCATTAAGACACCCAATATAAAAGAAGACTACTTATAAAATTATTTATAATTATATGTATGTATATAGATAGAGATCTTAATAAAATATATTCTTTGAATGGTGTTTTAATGAGCTGTATCATTTTTTTAAACATTTTTTACAGAAATAAGCAAGCAGCATTCCTTGGGTGTGTGTGTGTGTGTGTGTGTGTGTGCGCGCGCGCGTGTGCCTGCTCGCTTGTCCCTCCGTCGGCCGTGACGGGTGTGTGTGAGTGACTACAGACAAATGCATGAGAGAGTTAGCAGCCATGAAACAGCTTGATGAACTACTCTCCCCACGTGTTTTAAAAATGCTAATATGCTATGCTAAATCTGCTATGCTAAATAATGATTTCTCTATAGAACTACAAAGTCCGACTGGGGGAGGAGAGCACAGGTCTGCACTATGGAGGGGGGGCGGAGTTTACAGCTCCTCCTCCAGTTTAAAGAGACAGTACCCCAAAACGGCTCGTTCTCAAGACTCTCCTCAGAACAGGGGTAGATGAGGGTCTGTAGAGCAACAATAATGAGGAAATCAGACCAAAGAACTGCAGTTCCACTGTTTTTAGACCCCCAACTGAAGGATTTAGATGTAAAAAGGAATAACTTAAAAGCATGTTATGTCTCCTTTAAGGTCCATTATCCAACCCTAAGGGGTACATGGGTTTATCTGGGGCACAAAACCTAAAAGATCAATCCAATAATCCTTCCATCGGTCTCTTCTATTGAGACACCTTAAAAATTAAACAAACTCAGCGAAGTGAAAGCTCATTTTCTTAAACTATATTAACTAGGAAAACGGCATCCGACTACCCTCTGTGCAGACGTGTCTCCGTCATCTTCAGAGCTGTGCCACATGGTGTCCAAGCTGCTCAGACAACTATTTCCAGTTTAATTGGGTTTCACTGAGAGCAGAAATACACACTGCAGACATCTGGTAGGGAAATACATAGGGTACTGTACACATACAACCAACAGCCAAACACTGGAGTTATCTTTTAAAATTAATCCACTCATGAAAATCAAATCTCAACTGTTTGCAAAGGCAAATATCTTGTGGTATAGCCAATTATGGCATGAACGGCATTGAGCGGTAGTAACTGCGGCTGCAGTCTTACCCTGAGCTAAGGAACTAAAGGATTTATTGTTATTGCCTGATTCATTGGTTTCACTGCAGGCAGCTCTAATTCTCCAGAACCTGTTTTAGAGTGAGGATCCTTGCTGCCAAGAGCTTAATCCAAACGTGTAACATGTTAACATACAGAGGAGTGGATCATCTATAGGACCAATGCTCTTAAAGCATTGGTGTGGTGCCAGGGGAAATCAAGCCAGCCTCGCTAACATAGCAGCTAAACATGCTGCAGCATGGCTGTAAAATGGGATAAATCCACCGCAGCAATTCCTAACATGTTGTCACCCTTCAACAGTAAAAACGTCAAGAATACATCAAAGTAAGTGTCGTTCCAAAGTGGCACGCCATTTTCAGCTTCATAGCTTCTTTTTTTTTAAATATGTTATTAAGGAGGTACTCCTTGATCTTTGACATGGTACGATGCAGGTATGGCACCTGTCAGTGAGGAGCATTGCACCAAAACATTGGACTTATGGTGTTAAAGTAACGGTGTGTATTTTCTCTGGCAATATGGGGCAGTACACACCTAGATCATTGCAAGCAAGTAGTATTTTTGTGTTCAAGTAAGACCTTACCAACGGGTGGCCATTAGGGTCAAAAATCTCTGGGAGCTCAACCTCCAGCTCGATGACAAGCTCATCAGACTCCCTTTCATCACTGGCAACAACATTTGTGAATGGAGAATGTCTTGTAACCGTTTGTTACAAATCAGTAAATGCATTTTGTCCTCACAGGCTCCCGTAGAAGGAAACATGGCGTCTAATATGGCGCCACCCGGAGACGTTGTGTGTTTCTCAAAGCCAAGGAACCTTGCCTTGAAGTCTTGGCCCCGCCCCAGTTGCCTAGGAGTTACGTCATCAGGAACCACCAAGGCGTGTTCCAATGTTCTACCGAGGTGTGGTTCTTCGTTTGTTAGCCGTTTAGCTAGTTGTGCAAGGATACACGGGAGATGCCTTGTAGCCTAGCCATGGTCAAAAATTTCCCTGAATACATTGCAGTCATTTCAGAAGGATGTCGGATCAGAAGCCGGCAGCTACTTTGGGGACAAATTTCAAGTTTAAATGTAAGTCAACTAATTGCAGCTGTCAGGTTGATATCTGAAAATTTTTTTTTTTTCAGCTGTCAGCAGTTCGCTATGGTTGGTTAGTTGCTTAGTACTTGCAGCTTCGGTGGCTGGCAGGTAGTAACTCGCTTACCTATTTAATTTAACAAATAGATACACAATTTTAAAAGTAAAAGGCACGTTATATATTTATATTGTAACTTATACATATAAAATATAACGTTATCTCCTGTGTCACGTGACATTAATGGAAGTCTGTTCCATTGAACCGTTTTCTTTGATCAAGGAAGGACAGTGTCCTCGTAAGTAAGGCGCCTGACCTCACAAGACATCGCCTTACGAGGCCAGGTGCCTCAACATTGAGAAACACCCTTTGACCCACTCCAGTGTACTTTAGACCTGATTTTTATGGTTATATGTTACAAAGCCCCCAACATTTTTCAACAACTGGGCATCATTTAATTCATGTTCAACCACATTTTAATGGATTTTCCCAGAGATTAATGGTAAAAACCACACATCTTCACTTTAAGGCAACCATTCAGTACATTAGGTCTTAAAACTGCCACAGAACCTCTAAATATATAAGAACTGAGGTTTGACTTGGTGACTAGAAATATGAAACCCAAAATAAGAGTAAGCAATGCCTTCCTCTTTCTGACCAGAATCGTATGTAACACTTTACAGAGCTGACTAATGAACCAGTGAAAAGAAAACGCCCTTTACCTTCAAGGTTAATAAGTTATTACTATATAATCAAGGATGTGAAACTCCCCACTCTATTCAGTCTCTCTTTGCATCAAGTGTTGCAAAGCTGACAGTAAACACCCTTTGACAAATGGACAAGTTTCCCTTTCTTTCACCCCTTTTTGACTGTGTTTAATTAGTATTTATGGTAAAATTACTCAAAGCATGATATAAGATTAACTGCTTGATAAACTTGGGGACAGACATTAACACCATAATAAGAGTAGAAAGTGCTCCCTACTATAAAACACCCAAAAGTACCAACAGCAGATATAACAATGCATTTATCTACTTATAAACTTACTGTGTATGAGTAATAGCCATAATAACTGGTCAGTTATCGTAATAATAATGTGTAGCAGTCCTATTTGGTAAATGACAGAGAAGGGAAGTTTACTGGCTAATTCCTTAAAGTAACACTAAATGGATTTTTAACTTTAAGCTAAAGCTTTAACATTGATTTCATTGATTGTTGGGTTAGAAAATTGACCAATTTTATATTTGACACCACTCTGCAACCTATGGCCTAAAGGCTATGAAATCACAGGCTGATGGTGACCTGGCTTTGTTACTACTGGACTTGTAAGTAATAATATTGTTTGTCCAACAGTGTGGATCTTTTTGATTTGTAGCTTATTTAGTAAGACTTGGTTCCTTGGTAATGGTTAGCACGTTGGTAGCGCTAGCTACAGCAGGCTGCTGCAGGGTTGTTTACGGTAGTTGTTATTCCACTTCCAATCAGCAGGGAGGAGAAACAGGAAGAAAAAGCTGCTAATAAGCTAAAATCATCAGGAAGTGGAAAAGTGAAAATTTCAGGTGATGACTCCTTAAAAAGTAGCAAAAGGTTTGCCACAAATAAATAAAAAAACTCATCTTTAAGTGCTCAGTGTTCTTATTTCCCTCCATGAAGCCAAATAAGAGTTCTTTAAGGTTTTATACTGACGACAAAGCATTTGCACGCATCCAAATCAAATCTCAAGCCTCTACTTTCTGTGTGATTACACAATAACTTGGAGCTGAGTGATTGTCTACCTCCAGAAAACACTGCCAACACGAGCGAATTGAGAATTGTTGGACTAGTGCGACCCGTTTCTATTCACGGCGGCTGCCACATCGGACGAGAGAGCACTAATGGAGCGGAACAGTAATAGTGAAACCTTAAGAGTTGAGCTATTGAAAGGAAAGACTCAAGTGCACATAATTTCTTCTTCTAAACAAAATGGCCCAAGCATAAAAAAGCTATATATAAAATAAAAGGCATTGTTTTACTTCTAATCCAACATCATTATTGTAATGATGACACTATTTGTTTTGTATCATTTTTCTCTCACACCTCTCGTAGCGCTCTCTCTTTTAATCCGTATATTACCTTTGAAATTTCTAACGTTTCTGGTGTTTGAGCACAAAAAAATGAACATACACAGCTTTATAGAAATATTATATAATATTTCATATGTCCCAATTTTTTTACATGGATTTCATCCTTGGCTGTACCCCTAGCAAAATATAAGAAAAAATGTGTGTGTTTCTGAGATTTAACCCCTTTATTGCCAGGTGTATGATCAATATCAGAAATGTGAAAACATGTAAAAAATATTTTAATAATCAATTTATTTTTTATGCTTTATGTTCAGATGACGTTTTTGGGGGGTTAAACTGTCACAGCCTTGGAGTGTCACAAATAGGCATAAAAGTAAATTTTTTGCTCAATTTATAGTTTTGTGTAATTTCATGTATTCTAAAAAAGTCATGATTTAAACCTTGGTGCGCAAAAAAATGCAGACACAATACTTCCTCATATAATCTTTCATAACTCCTAATTTCTTTACATGAATTTTGTCCTTGGTTTCAGCAGGGGCGGATTAAGGACTGAAGAACATCCGGGGCTTAACACACGCACACACACGCGCGCGCGCACACACACGCTAGTCAACATCATATATGTCTTGTACCACATAATATTTAATCTGAAGCTACATATTCAGCATATTCAGGGCAGAGTATTGTTCCTGTTAGTGTTTAGTGTGAGATGATAGTAAATATTCCCTTTCTTTCTCCAACAACTTTACCTGATAGTAAGCTAACTTTAGGCAAACCAGCAGCACAACAAATATTTTCAAATAAGACTCACAAACCTGAGTCAACACCAGTCTCATCAAAGCTGGGGTTCTGTCGTGGTACTTTAGGTCTAAAAAACGTCCTTATGTCCATCTTCACTCATGCGTTTCAGGCAGATACTGCAGAAGAAGCCGGCTGCTGAAGGGCTTCTTCTTCAGTGATGGAGGCTCAGGCAGGCTGTATACAAACTACTGCCAGCTGCGCCCTCTCTGTTGGACTTTGGTACTGCATGTTACTTCCGCGATTTAGATCCGGGGCTTTCTATGAAACATCCGGGGCTTCAGCCCAAGTAGCCGGGCCTAACGCCGCCCCTGGGTTTCAGTCCTCACAAAATATAATTAAATATTTGTGCAATCCTGAGATTTAACCTTTTTATTTTCCCCTCTATTTAAAGTGCATGATCAGAAATGTAAACTAGTGAAAAGATATAAACAAATTTTCTGTGTTATGTCCAGATTTGTTTTATGGGCCAACTTTCAACATAAATGGTCATAAAAATATTTCCATGTAATTTTTTTCTTCTTCAATGCAGCGTTAGTTTTTTCCCCCGGTATACATAGGATAAATGCCCAATCTAGTGGAAAACATCAAAAACTCTAAATTGAGTCTGCAAATATGGAATATGGAATTACATATATACATGTATATATATATATATATATATATATATATATATATATATATATATATATATATATATATATATATATACATATATGTATACACATATATATATACATATATATTTTTTTTCTTCTATATGTATATATATGTATATATATATACATATACATATATATATGTATATGTATATGTATATGTATACATATATATATATGTATAAGCCTAAATATTAGCATATATATATATATATATATACATATATATATATATACATATACATATATATATGTATATATATACGTATATATATATATATATATATATATATATATATATATATACATGTATATATATATACACATGTATATATATATATATATATATATATATATATATATATATATATATATATATATATATGCTAATATTTAGGCTTACTAGAAAAAAAATTATTTACATGGGAGTCAATGGCACAATGATTTCAGTGTTACATTAAATGGAGTGGGGAAATTTTTCAATTATTTTTGGTATTTCCCACCAAAATACACATTCTCCCCCGAAAAAAGATTCTTTGCAGTAGCATAGCCAAATTTATTCACGAAAATACACCTGTCTGCGCAAAAAAATGCACTTAGGACATCACTCACTGCCGAAGCAGTCACAGAATGCTAACTTTTAGAAAAATCCTGAAAGAGCTACTTTGTTTGGAGACACAGCTAAGCGGACTGAGCCATCGTATCTCCTGGTCAGTTTTACCCTTCCCAGAAATTTTCTGAAACTCCTAAACACGACTACTTTTATGAGGTTAGAATCAAACGTCTTCATGCAACAGAGAGACCTTTATTTTAAAGAACCTCTCATTCTCATACAATTGTGTCTCACAGACATCTCCTTGTGTTTGATGGTCAATCGAAAGCCTACCCTAGCTTTTAAATGGTCACTAATTATAGTTTTAACTTCAGGACAATATCAACTGTAGGATACTCCACTTATTGACCAGTAAAAACTTTAGCCATTTCATCCACAGTGGGAGAAAAATTGCCGGTTTAATGAATCCAATAAAGCTGTGCTTGCTCCTTTTTGTAGTGGTTCAAACCTCCACCTAAAACACACGAGAAACCAGAAATGTGACCACAAATGAAACCTTTGTCCAAGCCATGGTTTTAGGAATGAAGACAAGCAAGGATTACTGGAGTTTAGATTCACCCCTGGCCCTCAATTGAGAAATGGAAAAAAAAAAAATAAAATCTAACAAATGATGTGACGCTTCGGGGCCTCGTGGACTGCCCTCTGTGGACTTCTCACCCATGCTCTTTTAGCTGGAGATTGGCTTCATTAGTAACCAACAGGGAGCATTTTCAAGCAGCTTTGCAGAAGCCCACAGGAATCCAAATAGTGGTATTTACTCAGTTTTACTGACACTGGTAAAACAAACCCCTCACAAGACAGCCAAAGAAAATAACATACCTTAGCACGCAGGAATAGAAGCCCACATCGCCCAGCTCGGCTGGTCGGAACCAGATAGCGTCTTCCTCTTTGCTCGTCCTCGTGCCGTCAAAACTGATGGGATCCTCAAAGTCTCCATGTCCTGCACTTTTGTACCACATGAGGCTAAGTCCCGTGCTCTGAGCATGGCTGTAGTTGGCTCGGATATATCCATAAAATAACGCACACTTAATCCGGACAGGCTCCCCCAGCAGCACTTTGTACTTCAGATAGTCCACCGACCAGTCTGTGCAACCTTCCACTGCAAAAGGAGAAGAAAAATGGAACATTACAGGAGGATTTGATTCAAAATTTTACATAGAAATTTATTTAAACTTTGACTCAAGCTTAATAAATGATGTTGCGTTCTATTTAAATCGGAAGTTAAAACACAGATCTGCTCAGGAATCTCAAACGTTGACATCAATCCTATTGTTTTTCCAAACTCGGAAGACAGAACTGAAATTGGGGTGGCTGATATGGCAAAATATGTTTTTTGTAAAAGTTAAATAATGTGTTTATCAATTTTTTGTTGATTTTTAAATATGTTGTAACTAATTTGTTACTACACAATGCAAACACACAATTTCCCCATTTAAAAACATTCAATAAGGACTAAAACAGGTAACTGTGGCAAAGGAGTGAAGTGCCCGTAACCAGAGGGATCAAGTCTACTGCAGTCAGTGTGTCCTTGGGCAGGACGCTTCACCCACATTTCCTGCTGGTGGTGGTTGGTGCATGGAAGCTGTGGCTTCAACGCGGCTCATCACCACAAGCATGTGGATGTGTTGTGATATGTCTTCGGGAGCTGTAAAACCCTAGTTGGAACTTTAAAACTACAAGTCCTTTACCATTTACCTAAAACCTAGCTGTAACTAACAAGCCTTGTGCAAACATGTGCTAATAATGCTAAAATCTAGCGCTAGCTAGTAAGTGACCCAGTTGATATGTAAATAAGTAACTGTTAAGTAATGATCAAAAAACTAAAAATAATCACAAAGTAAACACATTCTTAGAAGTACTTTATTTTAATGAACACACACAATTAGTGTGCGTCGCATCTAAAACAGTCTGGGTGGAAACAAATCTGTTCTCCATCTTTCTATTAAAGGTTTGATTTGCATGTGTAATCAATGCATTAGCAGTCATTTCTAGTAGGAATTAATGGCTTTGGTGGCTTATTTCCTGATTTTTGGACATCTTGCCTTTGATTGGCCAACGGCAATAACACAAGAATGAAGAAGTTCTGCTGTGTGGTGAAGTAGCTAATACTAATAGTTGGTGTTGTGTCTATCACTAGGGGGCAGTATTGGATAAGAAATGCAGGTAAGGAGAGAAGAAGTGCTTGAGTGGGAAGAGTTAAGATGGATGGAGGTTTGAAAATTCTTGCCTATACTTGTGATACTTCTGCTACAACCACCGACCATAACTGTTAGTTCCCCATCGAGAGTCAGGATGTGTGAGTCCATGACTGTTAGGTGACAGTGTGATGTAGACTCGTCAGGATTTTGTAATTCTAGCGTTTCACCGTCTCTCTTCTATCAGAAACTAATGCAGGAGATAGATGGAGACAATTTTCATGTTCAGCTTGCATAAAACCCTCAGAATGACTGAATATAATCAGAAATAATTATTTAAATGGGTTTTCGGTGAACCACATCTTTATAGTACTAATTCTACCTTTTCTCTGACAGCTCGTAAATGCATTAGAATCCTTACATTACCATGTCGCCCAGCCCTAATACTTCAGCATTTATTTTAAAACTAATTAATCTATATCATAAGCTAGGGCTGGGCGATATGGCCTAAAATCAATATTACGATATACTGAGGATTTCACATCGATAACGATAAATGGACGATAACTACAGGTATGCGCAGAAACAAAAGTTGTCCACTAGATGGGGCTGTCATGTGCATTGCGTAGTCACATTTTTACGTCACTCATGGTGGTACAGTGTTGAGTAAAGGGACATGAACGTTGCCAACCTACACACGTATTTTCTGTTTTCAATTCAATTCAAGTCAAATTTATTTATGTAGCGCCAAATCACGACAAGAGTCGTCTCAAGGCACTTCACATAACAAAAATTCCAATTCAGGTCAGTTCATTAAGCCAACCAGAAATAATGTTTCCCACATAAGGAACCCAGCAAATTGCATCAAGTCACTGACTAGTGTCAGTGACTATACAGCAATCCTCATACCAAGCAAGCATAAAGCGACAGTGGAGAGGAAAACTCCCTTTTATTATCAAATTTACTGACATGGGAAAAAATGTTTTCGATAAGTCAGAAATTTTGTTAAATGTTCATTTTCGATTTATTGCCCAGCCCTATCACAAGCTAAATGAATCAACCATATACAGCATGCTTGATTGTTTTGGGTTAAGTGGAGATCTAACTGAGATTTCTAAAGTCAGCTAGCTACATAACAACACTGATGGTTATTAATAAAGACTGGGAAATTTACTACAGTATGTTTCAAGACTAGGATGCTGCAGTTTTCCATGAAGAACAAGTTTCACAATGCAGGTTGACTGCTATCTATAGGAAACAATCACCATGGTAACCAACACAGCAATGATAACCTACTCTGGGGATGATTTACTTTGGAGGATGAGATCAATACATGCACATAGAATAGAATATTAAAGGTTCAGCTCCACTTCCAGCATGATTCAAACATGGACATACATGGACTGTGAGATCAATAACTAAATGAAATATTCCAGTTTCATCTGAGCAAACCAGCAGCAAGGTGTTGATAATCCAGTTTGGCCTTTTACATGTAGGACAATAAATTAGAAATCTCTCGTGACACAGCCAGAGAGCTTAATCAGCATTAGAGTACACTACCCATACATTATACTCACAGATGCACACATACGCATGTTTATTTCATAAAGGGTGTGTCAGAGAAACATCAGAACTATGAATCACAATTCAAGGTCAGACAAAGGTCAGATGTCTCCTATTTACGTTAAATCCATTAAAAATGTGTAGATTTCATGTTCCTTAAATGCTGCAGAGATAAATAGAAAAATGAACACGTAAGTTTAGAAACTTTTACTAGAATATGAAATATTTTGTTAGTTTTAATATTTGATGTGTTTTTGATATTTATTTAAACTAGGAAAGCTTGATTTTAGCATTTTTTTAACCGATATCTGACATTGTCTTAGTCTTAATTTCTAATACCCATACAAACCAATATCAACATATGTGGCCAAAAAAAAAAAAAAAAGAAAATAATCATTTAGGTTGCTAACAACACATATCTCCTATCATGAAAGCGAAACTCATTCACTGCCAATGACGACTAAAGTCGTCCTTTGCATTTTTTTACTGTTTGGGCATCGGAACGAGCTCCCGCACCGTGAGAACAAACATCTCAGCTCTAAAGCCGATCTTCATCCACCTACGTCACACGTCACGTGATCAGGAAGCAGAAAATCCATGTGTTAGGAGATGGTTTTGGCCCGCTGCTGTAAAAAAAGCGAGGCTCAAAATGGAAAAAACTTCTGCCAATCACAATTCGACAACGGATAATGAAAGAACGGATAGCGCTGGAAACGCACAGATTCTTCCTGTTTTACGAGGTAGTCTCCGCTTAGTTTTGGTTGTTTTGGCGTCGACATCATCCTAGCACTCAACGTTCTGTAACTCTTAAAAACACAGTAAAAATGGTGAGAAACGCTGGCAGCGAACGGCTTTACCGATCAGGAAACGGCTGGCAGCGAATGAGTTAGGCTTTAAACAATATTTGTGCAAAAATGCAACTACTTTAGTTTAAGTAAGTAATCAAAAACAAACGTCATGTTTCATTGGTCTCCAACAGCAGCTGAATGACATTCTACCAGAGATAATCCAGACAAATACTCTGTGACGCCTTTAGGCCCAAGGTAATTGTTAAGTTCAGTATAAGTTTGATTAATAAGTTAATAAATTGTGCAGGTGAAATAGCGATATAAAAGTTTAAATGTTTTAGGTTTTGAAAATGGACCAAAGTGGGACATCGCTGTTAAAAACAATCTTTGTTATATTGTCTGTGCGAAACACAACAAGGTGAGTGCTACTAACTCAGACCTATCGCTGAGGTAGGTCCTGTATCCTCCACTCTCGGTGTTTACACGAAAGCAGAAACGAGAAAATAAACGGCTCACGAACACGGTACTTTTGCCTTATGTATTCGTGCCTTGGAGAACATTTGTCTTAGTAAGTGTCGATTTGTTTAAGGAAAGTTTGGCCATGCGTTAGTTACTTAGTTGATAAAATGTAAGAAGCGTGAGTGTACACATGCTAAACAAGACTAATTGCTACATGCGACAATAAGACGTCTGAATTATTTTTTCTGTTTCTGTACATTGTACTTACGATGATAAAACATGAACGATTTCATTTAAAAAGGCAAACCTTGGGTGAAGATTCTGGTGCTTGTTTTAGTGGTTTGCTAGCTGCTAGCAACATATAGCTACGTGCTCTAAGGAGAGCAAATCCTCTATGTAGGGCAAATTTCTTTTTATTCACAAATTGAGCCAAATAAAACAAAAATATCTCAAACTAAACCTCAGATCTGTCATATTTGGTATAACATGTGTATGGTATATAAAAGTTATTAAAGGAGTTAAATCCAATACCAATATTTTCCGATGTTACATTTGTAACAGATCAAAGATCAAGTTTTCATCATAAAAAAAAAATAAAGACCAGAATGTAACTTTTAATTTGCAGACACACACCCCATCTGTCTGGCCTCTAAACCAGAAAGCTCTGCACCAGACCTTGTCACCAGGGCTGTTGCTAGCTATTTTGGTGCCCTAAGCACAAAGGCTTCGTGGTGCCCCCCCCCCCCCCCCCCCCCCCCACACACACACACACACATACAGAAAAAAACAACACAATAACACAGTATGTGCAAGCGCTTCACCTTAAATTTTCTTTAATTCTCTTGTATGCACAAACTGCTTATTATTTTCCAAAAAGTAGGATTGATATTTTGTGTGTGTGTGTGTGTGTGTGTGTGTGTGGGGGGGGGGGGGGGGTCATTTTGCCTTGGCCCCCAAAATGTCTTGAAACGGCCCTGGGTGTGTGACTGAGTTTTGAAGGTGATCTGAATTGTATCAGATGTATAAATATTACATGTGTGCAACTTATTGTTTTATACAGGTAAAAACGTGTAGTGGAGATAAATCTACCTACATTTTACTTTTCAACAATTTGTTTTGTTTTCTTGTTTTTATTTAACTATTTCCTGTCCTGT